ATAATTAGCAAATAAATTCTTTCCAAATCAGCCAATGTGATTGTCTGGATTTTTTTCTCATTTTGTCTCTCATAGTTGAGGTCTACCTATGATGCCAATTACAGGCCTCTCATCTTTTTAAGTGGGAGAACTTGCACAATTGATGGCTGATTAAATACTTTTTTGCCCCACTGTATTTCATTTCGTATTCAGGGGTTGCATTGTTGAGGTGAGCAGTTGTGAGTGTTATGTCTTGGAAGAGTGCTGCACTACACAAGAGTGAATATAGAGAAATTCTTTTATTAACTTGGAAGGGACTGCATCCCTGTAGACCATATTAGATTTATTCACTGTTCAGAGTTGGATGTTACTTTTTGGCACTTTTGCACTGTTTTTTTGTGAATTGTTTTGTTATTATTGCAATGGATTATTCACGCTTTGGGTTTTAGAGTGTTTTTTATGAGGATACTCACAGTGAAATTTTTTATCATTTGCAATATTTTTATTATTTGAATGTGGAGTAAAAGTACTATTTAGGCAAGTGTTAGCTGGTTGTGCAGATTTAATTTGGTTGGTTAGTATAAATTGCTTATAATTTTTATGATCGTTGTTGTTCTCTTGGGTTTATATATAAAGCCATATGGGAAATGGTGTTCTTTGGCTCCCTCTTGTGTGCACTAACAGGCATAAATAAACATAAAATGTATTGCAGTTTACATAAAGCATACCATTTTTATAAATGTAGTTTACATTTCTATTTTGATTTGGTAAAAGCACATGTAATGCATGATTCATTAGTGAGTGTTGAACCTAATCTCTTTTTAGTTAGAGGGAATAAAGGAAGGGTTAGTTATTTTGTAGGTATTTGAAGAAAAATCTCCTCAAGAAAAGACAAGACAGTTACTGTCCCAGCTACAAAAGATAAAAAATTTTTTGTTTTTTTTCATTTGTAAAATCCTAGGTATGGAAGGCAGGGGGAGGAAAGAGTAATAAGAGGTTAATACTTGTAGTTCAAAATGAACTCCAGGCAGACAGAAGGCACAATTTAATGCAGCTCTGTATTCATCAATACATTTTTTTGTTGTTGTTGTTTTAAAGGATACATTCACCTTTTGTTAAAAAAAAAATGTACAGGCTCCTGCAGCAAAAAAAAAAAAAATTAAATGCAAGAATTGTACAAGTGATCTGTCATTATATATGCTTGCCTGTCTTGGCTCCACAGTGCTATGGTAGTTTATTGAAAACTGCTAAGGCTGTCAGGACTTGTAGTTTGTCATTAACAGAGGAGAAGTGATGCAGCTGGGTTGGTGGAGGCCTTTGTGGCCACTTTTTGTTTAATTTGACAACTATACCCATGTGGAAGAAAAAATATATATCAAAATTGTAGCATATCAAATATTTTTTAAATATATTTCAAATATATATATATATATATGTGTGTGTATATAGCATGTTGAAATACATTTTTAAAAAAATATTTATCATATATTTTGTAATAAAAATACATTTCAAGTATACTGTATGTCTTTAAAAATACAAATCTACATTTTTGGAATGCATTTACAAATATATGTAAAAATATGTTAAAATTTTCATATATTTTATAATAAAAATGCATTTCAACATGCAGTATGTATGTATGTATATATATTTATTGAAATATATTGAATATGGGCAAAATTGTAGCATTTCAAATATATTTGAGAAGAATATTTTGAAAATATATTTTTCTTCCAGGTGGAAGAAGATCCCAAAGCAGGGGATCTGTGGGGAGTGTGGTCTGCTGCTTTTATAACAAGACAAAAGTCCATCCAGTTTAACCATAGAAAAAAAAAAACAAAAACAGCAAAGCACGATCCAATTTGCACCTGCTGGGAAAAAAAAATTCCTCCCTGATTCCCCCGAGAGGCAATCAGATCTTCCCTGGATCAACTTTACCTATAAATTAATGGTTAATTAAGCATGCAAGAAGTACACCAATACCTTCTATGGTGGCTTATATTTCTGGGGAGCTAAAGGGCATCAGGCATCATGTTACTTTCTCAATATCTGTCCTGTTTGCTTGCGGATGCCATCCATTTAAAAAGTTGACTGAAAACTAGACTAAGTGTCATTGTGCTTTCCCAGCAGCTTGAATGGCCTTTACAACCTTGACACTCCTTGCCATCAGCTTCCTGAAAGACATTACAAATATTTCCATTCTAATAATTGATGTACTAACAACCTTGTTAATTTCCTGGGAGGTCACAGAGATTCATTAAGTGCCAATAATTCCTTTTGGACATTTGTTGTGGGATGCAAAAATTACTCTTATTCCACAAAGTGCAGGTCATTTTAATGAGTATTTGAATATTTTTTGCCTTGTTTATACCAATCAGCTTGTGAGCAAGTTTAGGGTTTAGCTTCTCACCTTTAATTTCAGTTTAACAAAACCAAAACCATATGTCTGCCTATTTCAATCAAGGCAGTATTACTGCCTTCAAAACTGAGTGAGCATCTTATAGCACCCCTTCAAGATAAATTAAAGTCTACAGGAGGAGAAATGTTCCATAACAAGTATGCACAGCACAATTAATGGTGACCTGAAAAAAATTAAAGCAACAGCTTGACATTGATATCAAAATTTATTGCAGTAGCACATATTACACACAGAGACACACACAAAATTGATACAATTGACCTCTATACAAAACAAAAAAATAAAAAGCATGTCAGGTCATCAAAATTAACATTCCATACAAGTGTCTATATTTATATGGTCTACGTCAATAAAATAATGAACAAGGATTACGCTGTCATGAATAACGGGCTTAAAAGTATTGACTATACAGAATTCCCATTGCTTTAGCCTAAATTCATATATAATAGAAATACCTGTACCCAGTGTATCATAGATCGAGAAGATAGATTTACACAGCAAGGACTGTTTGTGCGCTGATCAATGTTTCTTAACTGCTACAAAATATGCTCGTTACATGCAACACTATATATCAGTTGTTCACAGATTATTTGCTACATTGTGTGAAAACGCATCAGTAACCCCGAGTTCTGTTGTATTTTGCAAAATTCATGTGCAGCAAGGGCCAGTGTGTGCTCTAATCTTTGTTCTGCATAGATCAAAGTGATGGTGATGAGCCCAGAGAGGCAACTGATCAAGCGCCAACAGGTTGTCATGGACTGATATCAAAGTAGCTTTGTAATCAAATTAGCTTTGACAAAGCTAGAACATCCAAATGAGGACCAATATTGTTACAAAAAAGGGACTGGTTTTTTGGCAGATGAGCCTTGAAAAGTTGCAAGCTTTAGTACAGGATAAGGTTCTTTATTTTCAGAGTTTAAAAATGTTTGTAGTTCTTTAGTCCATGTGCGATTTGTCTGTGGGCCCCATTTATAAAAAATAATGCATATGGAAATATGTACACTGTCCTATTTAATTCCATCTTCCCCATCTATTACACATCACATTGAATGGGTAAAGTGAAAATTTATTTTTAACTGTTCAGTAAGGGAAGTGAATGACCAAGCAGCTCTGAGATCAAATATACAACCCCCTTAGCAACTAAAACTTACCAGGCTTAAGCTGGCTAACAGCCCATTACACAATTGTGTGACTGGTCATACATCTTTGGTACTCATTTGGAAACATTCATATCTGTGCAACTTCAGGTCACAGTGGATGGAAAGTAATCCCTACACTACTTTGCTCCAACTTTCATGTGACTTGAGGGCCATATACTTCAAGTGTGACTTTGTGATGTGATTTTGAAGGGTTTACATTGAAGGACATGTGTTTGACTTTGTAGAGCCAAAATAGTTGCACAGAAAAACCATCCTTCATCAAAACCAAAGTTGCAGGCCTCCAAAGTCACCTCAAGGAGCACTGTAAAGTCACAATGAAAATTGCACAATTTTGAAGTCACACAAGTGTGAATATAGTCTTATCATGCATGAACATATTGCATGATGCTCTTGACAAGGAACCAAATAATTTGACATAGAAAATTGTCAAGGGACACATTCTTTCAGAAGATATAACCAATGACAGTCTGAGAAAAGTTCACAAACTACTCCAGGGATACACCTGGTAAAAATGTTCATGTATTTCTTGAGCTCACTTACCTGGAAGGAAGTTACATTTGAAGTAGGGTATAAATAACCTTAAACCTAGCAATTTCTAAAACTAGTTTTGATACCAAAAAATCTGGCACACGGTGAATTAAATTGCATTTTTTTTATGCCCACTGTGGCTGTATACAAACTGAACATACGCACTTCAACTTGGAAATGTCCTGTCATTGCCATCAGCAAAAATATTCGTTTGGCTGTTCGTCAGTTTTTGGAATGGCCTCAGAGTCTACGCTTGATCGTGCAGAGAGCAACCTATTAGATTCATCTGGATTATGTCTAGTCAAGTATTCTCCTTCAGCAGTCTTTGCTTTATTGTTGGTGGAAAGACTCTCAAATGTCACATAGGAATCCTGAAGGTCTTTAGATTTTCGAACCAATCCCTTTTTGCACCGTCGTTTCAATGCTCCACAGCAGACCACCAGTGTTAGTGGGACGGCAATAACACAGGCCACACTAATCACCACCACATTTATCAGTTTCTGTGTGCCACCAGCACTGACAGCCTCGTCAGTAGAAAAGATGACGCATTGTTCCTTCTTGGGGATAAGCCCTCTCGCACTAACACACGCAATGTATTTGGTTTGTGGCATCAGACCATCTATTGTAATTTTGGTTTTGCCAGGCTCCACATTTATTCTTCGCATATCCCTCTCTCCAAATATTGCATATAAAACGCTAAAGACTGTCACATTTTTGGCAAGAGGAGCTTTCCACGCAAGAGACACACTGTGGTCAGTATCACCAATAACTTTAACGCCTCTTACCAATCGTTCAGTCTCTGGCTGCTTGGTGGGAGAACTCAGTAAAATGTTGCCAGAATCCTTGGTGTCTGGTCTTATGACAGAATTAGGATTTATATTCTGCACATTACTGTCTTGAATTTGGGGACCGCTAAATTTGAAATGCTGCATTCCATTGTTCCCTTCTGCAGATAGAAATTTGCCTGCACAAACAGAGATAACAAGAACTTTAGGGGTACCAATAACTAAAAGGTAAACATTATAGGATAAATTGCACAGGAACAGGATCTTGTTGAGAATATGCCCATTATAACAATAAAAATAGAAAGATACAACGCACATGTTAAAGTGCTCATAATTAATTATAATTTTGCCCTAGAATACAAACCACCTTCTGTAAGTTTGGCATATCCACAATATGGATATCAGTTCAGTATTCAGGAGAGATCACCAATGACAGCCTTCAGAAACTTCCCTTTGTACAGGTTTTCATTTTTTTTTTTTTTTAAAGTGGTTCATAAGACTGAAGATTTTTTTACCTTCATGTATTCTATGCATTAAGGTAAAAAAAAAAAACAGCAGTGCCCCCCCAATCCTTACCTGAGTCCCCTCTAATAAAGCCGCTGTTGTCTGGGGACTCTTCCTCCTCATTGGCTGAGACTGCAGTAGGACCCCCATGGGACAGAGCCAAGCCACAGTTCTAGGTCTTATGGACACAGAGCACTGGCTCCAGGATGAGCACACAGTCGTACCCCAAGGGCAAGCAAGTTTCCCTGGGGATACTGCTTGAAGGGGAGGAGCCAGGAGCACCAGCAGAGACCCAGAGTCACTTTAACCACTTGCCCTCCTGAGGATTTACCCCCCTTCCTGACCAGTCCTCTTTTTGCTACTCGGCGCTGTACTAATTCAACTGATAATTGCGCGGTCATGCAATGCTGCACCCAAACGAAATGTACGTCCTTTTTTTCACACAAATAGAGCTTTCTTTTGGTTGTGGTCCATTAGCTGGAAAATCTGTGTGCAGGGTGCAGCTGGGCGTGGCATTGTTATGCACGTGACAGCGCGGTTTTAGATTGGCTAGTCCTTCGGTCACGAGTTTGGTGAGAAGGGCTGGGGGCGGACACCACGATCATCACAAGGAGGTCTAGTGTTTGAATTACAGCCCTTGATCTGACGTTCACGGCGCTACCTCACATGTATGGTGCAACCGCTGTTTACATACCGGCACTGGGGTCAATTCTTGTGCACACAGGTGTGCTTGCATGGGAGGGGCCGAGTTTATTTTTTTTTTTTTAAGTTATTTTGATTTTTTTAATTATTTTTACACTGTACCTTTCTTTTTTCTTTTTTTATCACTTTTAATGCTATTACAGGGATTGCAAATATCCCCTATAACTTCAATAGGCATTGTCATATATTCTTTTCTGAGAAATCTGGGGTCTGTCAGACTCTGGATATCTCCTCTGCCCTTACATTATCTAATCAAACCAAGATCGGTGTGATCAGATGCTTTCCCAATTTACAAATGGCGCTGTTTATATCCTGCGAAACTGAAGTGATGAAATGCTCGTAGCTTCCGAATTCTTAGACTATAGAGATGATTGGCACCACTCTGGTCTCCAATCAGCTCTATGGTCAGCTGGCAGAAACACCTGCTGCATTCTCAGGTTCCCCCGATGGCACAGGACTGCCCGAGAAGGCCGCGGAAGGCAGCGGGGGAGGGGGGCATCATATCCCGCTGCTTGTAAAAGCAATCCTGCAGTAAATTAGCCACTGGGATTGCTTTTACATGAAAGCCAATCGCCGTCTGAAAAAAACGATACTAGGATGATGCCTGCAGCTGTAGGCATCATCCTGGTATAACCATTCAAAGTCCAGTGATGTACCAGTACGTCGCTGGTCCTTGTTGGGTATATATGCTATGTTCTTTGTTTTTTTTGTATGCAGCCTGTGGACTGAATGAAAAAAAGAGAAGAAATCTCTGCCAGAAAAAGTGTCTGGTATGCCCCCGATTAGAATATACCGCCCTGCATCCACCCACTTCTAATGGTGGGCAGACATTAGGTCACACTTTGCCACATGTGCCAGTTCCAAGATTGTACAAATGTCTAAATAGTGGCACACTTGAATAAAAATTGTCCACGTTTAAGTGGTACCCCATATAGAAAAAGGATGACACCAAGTCCCAAAACTATCTTGTAACTGCTCCCCATGTAGTCTGGGCATCCGGGGGACTCTACATGACTATCATTTCCCTCGTAAATCCGAAACTTATAAGTATAGCCTGTTGTCCTTTCACAGGTCTTTTATATCTTGATCCCATATCTGGCACTCTTGCTGGGGAGAAATTGTTTGAATGCAAGGCGGCCAGAAAAATTAATGAGGGACTCATCAACGCAGATGTTTTTTCTGGGGAGTATAGACATCTGCAAATTTTTGTTTAGGGTGATTGGCTCCACAAAATTCGGCCCCTCGCCAATCAAATTCAGGGTCACCCTGAGGATGACAGAGTGTATTGTCGTTGAAATGCATGAAACATATTATACTCTCATATCTATGCCTGACCATGGCAGCAGAGAACACGGGCATATGATGAATTGGGGCTGCGGACCAATACAACCACAATTTATTTATTTTAGTAATGCCCATGTTGAGGGTTAATCCAAAAAAAAATTTAAATTCGAAAACCGTAATGAGTTTCCATGCGACTGGTCTGGCAAGGTTTGAATTTGGGTTGGCCGCTATAAATTGTATGCGTTGATTGTGGATCAAAGTAATTTATATGCACAACAGATATTCCGTGAAAAACAGCTCCAAAAATCAAGGGGAGTAGTTAAATTTGCTATTTCCACCTGAATTCCGGGTTGGGCAGTGAATGGGGGAAGTACGGATGCTGAAGAATTAGTGGGCTGTCAATTGGGATTTGAAAGCACATCCGGAAGGATACTAGGAGCTCTATGGGCCTGTGTGCAAATTTTTGGTGGCTGCGGGACAATACTTGTGCCAGGGCTTTCTTTCTGCCGGAACGCGGCTTGCGTACTGGACTTTTTCTTCGCCCCGCTCACCACTGTCTCTGCAGAGCTGGACAAGCTATGCAGAGCAGCGAAAGTACAGTGCCGGACGCGGCTTGTTTTGTCATGCTTGCGCGTACAGCACCTGGAGACTGCCAATGCTCACAGCCGGTGAGGGGGACATGCACGATTTACAATCTAAGCCAGGGTAAACATAGGGGGCGCGGACGATGGGCAAGGACACTATGCACGCTTCACCGCCCCCCCCCGCCGGCGTGTAAACATCGGGGCGGCGCGTGCGACATCAACAGTCAGTGACAGCGTGGACGCAGGGGCCGTACAGCTTGGAGTAGGTAAGCTGGCGCTCGGCTCCCTGTCACTGACTGCAGTATCATGTATTGCTCAAAATTTTTACTCGGCCCCAGCCTGTGCCCACCTAAACTATCAGGCAACCACCTGTGCCCACCTAAACTATCTGAGCCCACCTAAACTATCCTCACCCACCTGAGCCCACCTAAACTATTTCAGAACGCAATTGCTCAGCGCTAAGCGTAGGGCGCCGATCGAGAGCGCCCCTCCTGTGCATGAGGAACAGGAAAGATAAATTCAGTGATGGACGGTATTTTTTGGAGGCACACTATAAAAGGTGGCAACGCTGGTATAGGGGAGCCTGTAGGAGCAGGCACATCTACCAGACAGGGTACACATGCATGCTAGACTGATTTTATATCTATGCTGGACGTTTACAAACGGCCTGCCATGGGGTTTTATATCTATGCATGTGTTCCTGGTGTCAGTACGGTACTGATTTTATATCTATGCGTGTGTTTCTGGTGTCAGTACGGTACTGATTTTATATCTATGCATGTGTTTCTGGTGTCAGTACGGTACTGATTTTATATCTATGCGTGTGTTTCTGGCGTCAGTACGGTACTGATTTTATATCTATGCATGTGGGGGTGTCAGTACATTAGTCAATATCTATGCATGTGTTTCTGGTGCAAACGGTACTGATTTTATATCTATGCGTGTCTTTCTGGTGTCAGCGGTTTCATTTTATATCTATGCATGTGAGGGGTGGTCAGTACATTAGGATCTATGCATGTGTTTCTGGTGGTCAGTACATTAGTCATTTTATATCTATGCATGTGTTTCATGCAGATCATGCAAGAGGCAGCCGGGGGTCCGATGACATCATTTCCCTTATATGGTATGTACGGGAGGAAAATGATGTCATCGGAAGCCCCTCCCAAATTTTACTTGCATTCCTGTTCTCTAAAGGGGTGGTCCTAGGGTTTGATGGGGGCGTGGCCAGGTTTGGGGTGGGGGAGTTCCACCACCTTTCCTCTGAGAAAAAAAGTGTGCTTGTGCCACACCAGCTTGTACTGGACTTATAAGACTCGCCACAGTTCGGGGCAAGTCATACTGCAGTGCTGGTATTATTATTATTATACAGGATTTTAAATTTGATGCCAACAGTTTGCGCAATCGCGCTTACAGTATATTGGGAGACAATACAGCGGAATACAGTTTGGACAAGGTGAATTAGGAGGGGCTGCCGGATTACAATCTAAGAGGGGATAGACCAGATGTACTAGACCGCTGGTGCTTGCCAATTCACTAAAAGGTAGCGTGGCAGTAGTACTGGCACTCTGCTGCATATGAGAATCATCAAAATTCACCGGCAAGTGCTAACAGAGATCAGGCTTGATTCTGTGAACACTGCAGTTTTTGTGCGTGTATCAAGTGACAGTGACCTACTGACACTGCACTTGCTGGGGGGGGGGTAAGCGAGTTTGTTAAAAGATTGGACATGTGGGCTGATCCTGATAACGCTGAGTTTTTGGACACACAATACTCTGTGAACGCTGGTATAGTGCGTTGTCTGATCAAAGTGATGTAGACAGTATATAGGGAGATTTGGGGTTCATGAGCGTGTTCCTGGCAAGACAAGGGGTTAAATGTGATGCTGGTGTATTGACAGACAATCTGAAGCTTAAGGGAGGGGATGAAATCCACGGGAGCTGAAATGTCGCTCAGTAGGTGTGTGATTGGGCAGAGATCGAGGGGGTGAGGTGGGGGGTATGGGAGATATATATATATTTGTGTATATATCATATATATATGTGATTTTGTGCACCCATGCCGCCCTGTAGCAGTATTTCTGCTATAGGGCGGTCAAGAAGTGGTTACAGAAGCGGTTTGTGTTACGTCACTGCGTTTTTAACTGACAAATGCGCGGTAATGCAACACTGCACCCAAATTAACTTTACGTCCTTTTTTCCCATGAATTGGGCTTTCTTCTGGTGGTATTTGATAGCCTGTGCGTTTTTATTTTTTTGCGCTATAAAAAAAATTGATATTACATACTGATGTTGTACTACTCTGGTGTCTTTTTGTCATAATTTTTGGGAAAAAAGATTAAAAAATTATTTTCAGAATTCTTTTTTCTTAAAACTTCAAAAAAACTCACCATTGCCTCTTATGAAATACAGTACATTGGACTGTCTACTTTGCAAAAAGGGGTCATTTGGGGGATATCTGTACTATTCTGACATTTTTGGGCCTCAAGAAGTTAGATTGGCTGTCAGTACTTCAGGATTGGTCAATTTTCAGATATATCCCATAGTTTGTGAACTCTATAACTTTCCTAAAGACTAAATAATAAATTGATTTGGGTTATTTTCACCAAAGAAATGTAGCAAAATCCATCTTGGCCTAAATTTCTGAAGAACAATTATTTATTTGCAAACTTTTATAGCAGAAACAAAGAAAAACTTGTTTTTTTTTTTTTTTTTCAATTTTCAGTCTTTTTATTTTAATTTAGCAACAAATAAAACCCCCAGTGGTGATTAAATATGTCATGGAAATTTTCTATTACAGGTTGTCCTTTAAATGTGTCATATATTAGTGTTATTCATATGTCTCTCGTGTGGCTTAATTAAAGCTCTGAAGGCTGCAATTAGGCCATGCGCATTTACAATGTATATACAGTCAGGTCCATAAATATTGGGACATCAACACAATTCTAACATTTTTGCCTCTATACACCACCACAATGGATTTGAAATGAAACGATGAAGATGTGCTTTAACTGCAGACTGTCAGCTTTAATTTGCATCCAAATCAGGTGAATGGTGTAGGAATTACAACAGTTTGCATATGTGCCTCCCACTTGTTAAGGGACCAAAAGTAATGGGACAATTGGCTTCTCAGCTTTTTTATGGCCAGGTGTGTGTGTTATTCCCTCATTATCCCAATTACAATGAGCAGATAAAAGGTCCAGAGTTCATTTTCAAGTGTGCTATTTGCATTTGGAATCTGTTGCTGTCAACTCTCAAGATGAGATCCAAAGAGCTGTCATTATCAGTGAAGCAAGCCATCATTAGGCTGAAAAAACAAAACAAACCCATCAGAGAGATAGCAAAAACATTAGGCGTGGCCAAAACAACTGTTTGGAACATTCTTAAAAATAAGGAACGCAACGGTGAGCTCAGCAACACCAAAAGACCCGGAAGACCATGGAAAACAACTGTGGTGGATGACCGAAGAATTCTTTCCCTGGTGAAGAAAACACCCTTCACAACAGTTGGCCAGATCAAGAACACTCTCCAGGAGGTAGGTGTATGTGTGTCAAAGTCAACAATCAAGAGAAGACTTCACCAGAGTGAATACAGAGGGTTCACCACAAGATGGAAACCATTGATGAGCCTCAAAAACAGGAAGGCCAGATTAGAGTTTGCCAAACGACATCTAAAAAAGCCTTCACAGTTCTGGAACAACATCCTATGGACAGATGAGACCAACATCAACTTGTACCAGAGTGATGGGAAGAGAAGTGTATGGAGAAGGAAAGGAACTGCTCATAATCCTAAGCATACCACCTCATCAGTGAAGCATGGTGGTGGTAGTGTCATGGCGTGGGCATGTATGGCTGCCAATGGAACTGGTTCTCTTGCATTTATTGATGATGTGACTTCTGACAAAAGTAGCAGGATGAATTCTGAAGTGTTTCGGGCAATATTATCTGCTCATATTCAGCCAAATGCTTCAGAACTCATTGGACGCCGCTTCACAGTGCAGATGGACAATGACCCAAAGCATACTGCAAAAGCAACCAAAGAGTTTTTTAAGGGAAAGAAGTGGAATGTTATGCAATGGCCAAGTCAATCACCTGACCTGAATCCGATTGAGCATGCATTTCACTTGCTGAAGACAAAACTGAAGGGAAAATGCCCCAAGAACAAGCAGGAACTGAAGACAGTTGCAGTAGAGGCCTGGCAGAGCATCTCCAGGGATGAAACCCAGCGTCTGGTGATGTCTATGCATTCCAGACTTCAGGCTGTAATTGACTGCAAAGGATTTGCAACCAAATATTAAAAAGTGAAAGTTTGATTTATGATTATTATTCTGTCCCATTACTTTTGGTCCCTTAACAAGTGGGAGGCACATATGCAAACTGTTGTAATTCCTACACCGTTCAACTGATTTGGATGTAAATACCCTCAAATTAAAGCTGAGAGTCTGCAGTTAAAGCACATCTTGTTTGTTTCATTTCAAATCCATTGTGGTGGTGTATAGAGCCAAAAATGTTAGAATTGTGTCGATGTCCCAATATTTATAGACCTGACTGTATTACAGTACTCAGCTTGGTAATGGATGAGATGGCAGATCTGCGTTTATAGACTGGCATGTATGCCACCACGGCATTCGATGCCAATGCCTCCGGCGGTAGGCCGCGGGCCTGTATCCACATATCAGCAGCATAGTACCACATGGACTTCGTATGGCCAGGCGCCGGGCAGTGCGAACTCCGCGTGTAGGCTCATGTATATCTCTACAAGCCGCTACCAACCTGAACTGTATCTGGATGGAGGAGGTGTTTTAATAAAGATCGTATCGGGCCCATTCAGATACAGACTGGCACTGTTTAATCTAAGGGATGCTTGTACAGACAATGTACATACTGCTGGGAGCTGATAGCATGTAAATAATGATAAACTCGCTCTCCAAAGAGAGCTTACAGGGGAGGGCAGGAAAAACTGGTTTAACTGGTTTTAGTAAGAGGGAACTTTACACTCAGAGCAGGGTGGACATTCTCGTGTATGGACACTCCCTATACATTGTTCTGTGAAAGGGGATTGACTTGGCCCCCGTGCGGGGGGGGGGGGGGTGTTTTTGTAAGATAATAAAACAGGAGTCTGGTGTTAGACCCAGACAGAGTGGATTCCAACTCCAACCTGGGGAGTGTCGTCTGATTATTCCTAGATCACGGGAGCTCCATTTTCCCCACATCTCAAAAGAGCTAAACCTTTGCACACCAGTTGGAGGCGCAGGAATTGTGGAGCTAAGCTGCAGTCGTGGTAAGCAAAGTTCGCACAGCTTTATGGGGGTACTCACGGTAAGAAAAAATTCGTTGAAAGCAAATTCCCAAGACAAATACCACCAAAATAAAGCTCCAGTTGTGTGAGCAAAATTGTAACATTTTCGCTTGGGGACAGTGTTGCATAACCGCACAATTGTCATTCAAAGTGTGAGAGCGCTGAAACCTGAAAATGTCCCTGGGCAGGAAGGGGGTAAAAGTGCCTGGTGTTGAAGTGGTTAAACAAAAACTTTAACTTGTCAAATTGCTTGTTTATATTTAAACCCTTATACACCCTTAGTGAAGTGATGGTAAATAAGGAATTTAAATAAATATACAGCTGACGAAACTGTTTGCGTGATTTATTTTAAAAAATTTTTCAAACCATTTATATTAACATAACCAATCATATGAAGCTACAACTGCTAACTATTATGCACATAGTGACCTCCACTTACTGACCTTAACTCACCATTACTCAACAAAACCATATTACTAGTTCTAGTGTAACCTCAACACTCCTCCATGGTCCCGTGTCTTCCAAGAGGTCCTCTAAGGCCCCCATGATTCAATGCATTTATTTTTTTGGCCTACATTACTCATCAAAATCACAATGCCCTTCCAAACCTAATGCCAACAATGAGTATCAGGCATGCACGTTAGCATACAAGAAAAATCTTTCATGGATATTAGGTCTTTGCACATGGGGTTTCCTTTTGGCCACTGAAGAACTCCTGCACACTTGCAGAATCCTGTACGTGTATAATACTCCTGCAAACTGAAATCTGTTTAGAATAACGCTATTACATTTACAACATTATGTCCCTGATCATTGGGCTCCTTTGCTTGAACTAAAGTGTGTATCATCACCCAGGTTAACATAATATGTGAATATAACATACAATATTTGATTGAAAATTACCGCTGTCATTTGGCTCTTCGGTTGTGTTGGAGTCAGTGACAAACACTGAAATAAACGCTTCTGTCATTCCCAAAATGTTCTTTGCCTTGCAGATATATTCTCCAGAATCTTTGTAAGAGACGGTGGGCAAATTTAACATGGACCAACTCATTCCATCACTAGATATTTCCTGGTGAACTGCCAATTAAAGAAATAAATCCATAAACAAAAAAAAAGAGAATGTGTAAAATGCAGAAAAGCAAAGAGGATTTCCATTTTTAGAAAGCAATCTCCAATATTTCCCATAGATCCTTCTTGGTATAAACTATGCTTCAGTTTGTGAACAAACAGGAAGCTCTATACAGAGGCTATGCCTGTCCATTCATTCTACACAGCTGAGGCTTCAGAGATGGAGATTGAAGGTCTTTGGTGAGCTATTAAGGGTCTAAACAGACCCCTGATGTTCCACCTTTGAGGACTGTTTCTCTTTCTCAAACGGGACTCCTAACAAATTGTTTTATAATTTTAAACTTGTAATTATTTTGTAAAAACATAAAAGAACAAAAAATAAAAAAAAATACTGACACCATTGGCAGAACTACCAGGATTGCAACAGTCACACTTGCAACCTTGCCCTTGCATCCACCACAGTGGAAGGATGGGGGGGGGGGAGAGCCAAGACAGCAGGAAGGGGGCCCACTGCAAAACCTGTGAAAGGGTCCCACTGTGGGACTGTAATAAAGAGCCTCTGTGATGGAAGTATCCCCCCAGGCCAGGGGTGAGGGGGGCACTTCATGGTTACTTGCACTGGAGCTCTAAACATTCTAGTTAAGTCTCTGCCCTACTTTCCCAAAGTAACCTGGCCTTCTGGACATGCTTTTGCAAGCACTCTTTCGTGCCCTTGTTTTCACTTTTGTCTTTGTTTTGGCCTGGGTCACCTGTATTGTTTGGAGTGTGCTTTCCTTTCCGTTTGGACGGCTTTTGGATGGCCCTAGGTTGTTAGAGAAATTGGTTTGATGGTACAAAAATTCAACTTTCCATTGTGGAACATGGCTTTATCAGAGTCCACTGAAGGACGCAGCTCTCTCCCTTCATATGCTATTGTTTTCTCTGACAACCCAGTAGGACTGGTGTGGTAATGACTTTCCTCCAATTCTTTTATGTATCTACAGTCCATTTCTGCTTTAGGTGGCGGTATAATTCTAGGTTGCTTATCAAGTCCCCCAATGGATTTCAAGAAAAGGATTTTTTAGAGTACCAAAAAATAATTTTACATGACAGTAATCCCCAGATTAAAGTATGTGCTTGGTTAGCAGCATTTATACTGGAACAATGGTGGATGTGAAATGCACACTCATATGTACATTTATGTAACCCCTCCAGTTCAAATAATTGAATAAAACGTCATTACTAATACAGGTTTAAGGCAGTTTCATTCAAACTGGAAATGTATGAATTTCTAATAATTCATATTTAACTATAGATAACTAAAACTAAATTGATAAAATATTTTATTCCAGCTTTTTATACGTGTTATCTAGTTATGCTTGTTTTTCCAGAAAAATGACAATTACAGGTGCATCTCAATAAATTTGAATATCATCAAAAAGTTAATTTCAGATATTCAAATCAAAAAGCAAAGCTGATATTATATAGATTCATTACAAGCAGCGTGATATATTTGCAGCATGTCTTACTTTTAATTGGGATGATTATGGCTTATAGCTAGTGAAAACCCAAAATTCAGTATCTCAGAACATTAGATTATTGCATAAGACCAATTAAAAAAAAGGACATACTTTTTAGTAAGCCAACATTTCTGTATTAAAAAATCCATGTACAGTATATATGAACTCAATACTTGGTCGGGGCTCCTTTTGCATGGATATGGCACAGAGGCAATCAGCCTGCGGCACTGTTGAGCTGTTACACAAGCCCAGGTTGTTTTGATAGATAGCGGCATTGTTTGGTATCGTGTCTCTCATCTTCCTCTCTTGGCAATACTGTGGGAATTAGATCAGGCGAGTTTGCTGGCCACTCAAGCACAGTGATACCATGATCATTAGACCAGGTATTGGTACTTTGGGCATTGTGGGCAGGTGCCAAATCCTGCTGGAAAATGACATCAGCATCTCTATAAAGCTGGTCAGCAGAGGGAAGCAAGAAGTGCTCTAAAATTTCCCAGTAGAGGGCTGCAATGACTTTAAACTTGATAAAACACAGCGGACTGACACCGTCAAATGACAAGACTCCCCAAATAATCACTGAATGTGGAAATGTCACACTGGACCTCATGCAGGTCGGATTCTGTGCCTCTCCATTATTTCTCCAGACTCTGGGACCTTGATTTCCAAATGAAATGCTAAATTTAATTTCATTCAAAAAGAGGACTTTGGACCAATTAACAACAGTCCGGTCCTTTTTGTTCGTAGCCCAGCTACAACATTTATGATAACTCATCTCTGGTTCAGGAGTGGCTTGACACAACGAATGCAACAGTCATAGCCCATGTTCTGGAAAAGTCTGTGTGTGGTGGCTCTTGAAGCATTAACACCGGCCGTAGTTCACTCCTTGTGAGTCTCGCCAAAATTCAAGAATGGACTTTTAATTCTCAATCGTCTCAAGGCTGCGGTTGCTTGTACACCTTTTACTACCATGCTTTTTCCTTCTGCTCAACTGTCCATTATTAAGCTTGGATACAGCACTCTAAACAACCAGATTTTTTTAGCTATGAAAATTTGCGACTTGCGCACTTTGTGGAGGGTGTTGATGACTGTATTCTGGACAACTCTCAAGTTAGCTGTCTTCTCCATGATCGTGTAACCTACCAAACAAGACTGAGACACCATTTAAATGCTCAGGAAGGCCCTCCAAGGAGCAAGGCCCTCCTATCCCTCTTGTATTGAACTGTATTGTTGCTATACTGTCTCCCGTTATATTTTAAAGTGCTGAGCAAACTGTTGGCGCTATATTATTATTATTATTACATCGAGTTTATATAGCGCCAAAGGGTTTGCTCAGCGCTGTACAATAGAGGGGGGGACAATACATGAAACAGTACAGCAACTACAAACAGCACACGAGGGGTTAGAGGGCCCTACTCTTTTGAGCTTACAATCTAGAAGGGAGGGGGTAGTGGTACAGGAGGAAATGGCTGTGGGGGATGGAGTGGTAGGAGGGATGAAGGAGAACGACTGTTAGGTGAGGGTGGGGTAGGCTTCCCTGAAGAGGTGGGTTTTCAGGGAGTGCCTGAAGGTGAGGAGGGAAGGTGACAGTCTGATGGATTGGGGTAGTGAGTTCCAGAGGATGGGGGAGGACCTGGAGAAGTCTTGGAGTGGTGCGTGGGAGGAGGAGACCAGGGAGCAAGATAGAAGGAGGTCCTGTGAAGAGCGAAGGGTACGGGTAGGGTGGTACCTTGGAATCAGGTTGGTGAGGTAGTTAGGGGCAGTGGGGGGTGGTTGGTGAGGTGGATGAGTCTAGCCGCTGAGTTCAGGATGGTCTGAAGCGGGGAGAGCCTGCACTGGGGTAGGCCGGTGAGGAAGGAGTTGCAGTAGTCAAGACGTGAGATAATCAGGGAGTGTATGAGTAGTTTAGTGGTGTCTGGGGTAAGGAAGGAGCGTATCTTGGCGATGTTGCGGAGGTGGAGCCTGCATGTGTTTGTAAGTGATTTGACATGAGGTTGGAAGGAAAGGTTTGAGTCCAGAATGACGCCAAGGACTTTGGCTTGAAGGGCGGGATTGATGGTGGTGTTGTTGGTAGTGATGGATAGGATGGGGGGGGGGGCACGGGCAGGGGGAAAGACGAGAAGCTCGGTTTTAGAGAGGTTAAGCTTGAGGAAATGGAGCGACATCCAGGCTGAGATGTCGTTTAGGAGGTGAGTGATGCGGGCGGAGAATGTGGGAGTGAGGTGAGGGGTGGAGAGGTAAATTTGAGTGTCATCAGCGTAGAGGTGGTAGTTGAAGCCGTGGGAGTGTATGAGTTTGCCAAGGGAGGAGGTGTAGATGGAGAAGAGAAGGGGTCCAAGGACAGAGCCCTGGGGGACCCCAGCAGAGAGGGGGAGGGAAGGGGAGGTGGCACCGTTGTAGGAAATACTGAAGGAGCGTCGGGATAGGTAAGAGGAGAACCAGGAGAGAGCGGTGTCTCTGATGCCAAGGGAGAGTAGTTTATTAAGGAGGAGGGGGTGGTCAACTGTGTCGAAGGCCACCGAGAGGTCCAGGAGAAGGAGGACAGAGTAGTCACCTTTGGCTTTGGCGGTAAATGGGTCGTTGGTGATTTTGAGGAGGGCGGTTTCAGTGGAGTGTAGGGGACGGAAGCCGGACTGTAGTGGATCAAGGAGATTGTTGTCAGTTAGGTGGGCGCTTAGGCGGTCGTAGACTAAGCGCTCAAGGAGCTTGGAAGTGAGTGGCAGCAGGGAGATGGGTCTGAGGTTGTTTGGGTCATTGGGGTCCAGGGAGGGCTTTTTGAGTATGGGGGTGATGTGCGCATGCTTTAGGGGGGAGGGGAATACGCCGGTAGAGAGGGAGAGATTGAAGATGTGGTTGAGGGAGCGGATGAGGGGAAGAGGGGGGTGACCGGAGGAATTGAGAGGGGATAGGGTCCAGGGGGCAGGTAGTGAGCCGGGCTTCTGAGAATACCCTGGTGACTTCCTCAGTGGTAGCAGGGCTGAAGGAGTGCAGTGCTGGGGCGTTACGGTAAGCGGAGCCTTGGGTGTGGTGGGGGGCAGTGCGGTTGCGAGGTCAGAGGAGGGAAGAGATGAGGGGGAGATGGGGGGGGGGGGGGAGGCAGATTGCGAGTTGACTATGTCCTTACGGATTGCGTCAATCTTGTTGTGGAAATGAGTAGCAATCTCGTGGGTGGTAAGCGATGGGTACTGAGTGGAGGAGGGGGGGGGAGAGTAGGGAGTTGAAGGTGAAGAATCGGCGAGGGCAGGTGGAGAGGGTGTTGATCAAGTTTACGAAGAAGGCCTGCTTGGCGGCGTGGAGGGAGGAGGGTGTAGGTGAGGAAGGCAGATTTGTAGAGGGAGAATGCACGAGGGGACCTGGTTTTGCGCCATAGTCTCTCCAGCGCGCGACTGCAACGTTTGAGGCTATATAAATCCTGTATAATAATAATTAGCTGATTAGAGTGTTTCACCGTGAGTCAAAAATATTGAACCTTTTCACAATATTCTACATTTCAGAGATACTGAATTTGGGGTT